GTGGAATAACTCCTGTAGAAAAATCGTGTAAGCATTCCGCAATTGAGACTATTCCATACTAGATCTGGGACCATTTCTCCAATATTCTTCAAATACTATTACGGGAGGGCGAAGACTTCTAGTACCGTTTTCAGAGCTGATGATATTCTAGTCAATTTGTTCCTATGACCACATTTGGATTCTGATTAAGCTGTTTATTCTCTAGTTCTTATGGATCGCAAGGAACAATGCAAAATATCAGGATATAGCTATGAATCCTAGAAGGATTAATTGTTTGTCAGGTTTATCGGACTATCTCCCTCCTTCACATAGGCCGTTTAATTCGAGTAGTGCATGGCGAGGGGACTTAGATATTTCCCCTTTTTTGGGGTTTCTCTCACCCATTCAATGCCTGCACGTCCTATTTTAGTCTCTTGGCATGTTCCCCCGATAGGGTACTATAAGATCAAACACTGATGAATGTGTCAAGGGAGATTTTGCGAGTGGTGGGGGTATCAATAGAGATCATGATGATGATTGTCATCCAAAAATTTTGTTATCGTACTTTAAAACGATAGGCAAGTAAATATTTAATCATTTTTTTTTCTTTATTAAATACACAAGGGGTAAATAAATCTTTTTATTCCATTTTAAAAACTTTGTTGACATAAATCGTTATCAGACACAAGATGTAATATGTAATTAAAGACTCAAAATGAGAATACAATGAAAAACGTTTGGGACGTAAGTGTGACAATGACTAAAGATTGTGAATATTTAGTGTAATTAAAATATGGTGCACTAATTAAAAAAAAAAAATTTGTGGTGTGAATTTATTTAGTCTAGTTATTATTATAATAAGTTAGTTATTACTATAATAGGATTTTTTTTTTTTTTCCTTGTAGATTAGGGTTTTGTTTCCTTTCTAAAATTTTAGTTTTCTTTGCTCTTAGTATTTTAGATTTCTTTTCTTATATTGGTTAAGGAATTATTTTGCCTATACAAAAATTAAAGGCTTTTGTACACTTAGAAATAAACCAATTCAATATTATCAAATAAAAAAAATACATATTTTCGAGAGTTTCAACTCTATCCTTATGTCAAGAATTTTAATTCCACTTCCACACCAATAACAATAAAAGCAAATAATAAAAATCTATGTCAAAGATTTTTGTATTGTACGTGATAAGAACAATCTCGAATGGGACTGATGAGAAAACGCCAATTTTCTCACTATGATTTTGTTTTCTCATAATATCAAATTTGGCGAGAGAAGAACCCTAGATCAAAAATCAAGTCCAACATTTCAGCATACTCAATACTCCTTCACTGTCCCAATACATGGAGACTTCTGTTCCCCAAAATGAAAAATATAATTTAGAAGCCAAGTGGAAATGAGCATGAATTATCAACTCATTAGGAACTCAACTACTGATAGACTTGAAATTCAACGTTAAGGGCAGAACTTATCATAAAATTGAGGCATGGGATGCTCTCTATTAATTTTTTGCTATGCTAACTTGAACCAATCCACCAAGGAGAACATACACAACAAGAAGATTAATGGCATTATTGAGATTTGAAGCAGAAGATACAGTTTCTTCTTGCCTTTTTTTAACACTAAAGCTAAAGTAAATGTTATGGAATTCGCATCTTTCACTAAAACACAAAACTTATATCATGGATTCTGTCGAAGACATCCACACGACAAGGTCTGCAATTATAAAAGCAGATTTGCCTTTCGAATACACCCCAAAGGAGAAATTTTCTAAAGCGATGTGCTGAATAAGATGAAAGGTAGAGAAATATGGTGGAATCAAGAAATGGATAGGCTGCAGCTTGCAAGAATTAAAGAACTGTTGCTGATCAAAAAACCTAAATCTTCAATAATCAACAATTCACCTACTTTTACAAGGAATACTGGTTTTGCCAAAACCTAGAGGCATTACTGCATGACTCAATAACAACATTAAAATGAAAGCATCTCACTATCTGTGTTACAGGAACCAGGAGAAACTACAATGCGTGAAAAAACAGATCAATGCAGGGTGTTGAAACGAAGATCACAGTGGCAGCACTGTGAAATTAGCTCCAAACTTAGGATGCATGTATGCATCTGGTCCCAATTAAGTCATCTTGATAACAATCTCAATCCCTTGGTTGCTTTGGGTAGTCCTTACATCTGCGTTGATGGTCCTTTAGTGAGACCTTATATCCTGAAGATACCGACCCACTTGCTGTGCCCCAATAAACAAGGCATCAACGGCAAGAAAGAGACCAACCTGAAATGGGCCAACTGGGGTTGATAACAGGAAAAACTGGATCAAAAGGTTACTAACAATCCAAGGAAGGGAAAAATTAATTACCAGACGGGCTGAATACACCAATCTGTAGCCCCAACCTTCCTTGGCAGCTGCAGCTCTCTGTTGGTCTGTCCAACTAACAAAATATAGGGCCATTTAGTACATTATCAGAACATATCATGACTGTCTCTCAATTGCATTCATTGTAGTCCCGAGTCTATTATTCAGGTTACTGAGACAATTATTATCCATAAAAGTATTATTTAAACATATGATATATGACCATGACGTGCAATATATAAATGTGTTGCCATTAAAAGAAATTAATTAATACATAGGGGAAAAGTACAAGTTTCAGAAGGTGGTAGGTAATCCAATAAGATAGTGATGCAGCATAGGTGATTACTGATTAGCTAGGCAACCAATGGAAAAATAAAGATGACAGCTGTCTTCCACGGCGTTATAGGGTTAACTGATGGTAGATTGAATACCCAGTTATCAAATATGATCTGGAATATGGTAAGATTACTTATTATTGAGATTTTGAACAGATCAATGTATGTAAAAGGTTCAACTCACTTCCACCTAAACAGTTCATAGATGCTCGTGCCATCTATTAAAGAGGTATGTAAGATATACTGGGAAAGACCTGAACTCCATAATTTTTCAAGTGGAATGTGGGTTGAGACAAAGGCGAAACTATGTTATTGTTACCCGAGAAATTCTGAAAGCCCACCAATTCCTGCAAACTTAAAGGGCTGAGGACCTTCCCTTTCAAGATCCTGCACCAAACAAGAATTTATTGCTCCATATACTTCATGGAACCAAAAAAAGGAAAATTGACCAATAAATGTGAGCCAAAGCACAGAAATTCAACATTCCCGTAGGTACACTCACCTCTTCTTCAGCAGCCTCCAGGCCCCCTTGAACCCAGAAAAGGTTTTCATAACCAGCATTGTATAATAGCTCACAAGCTGCAAGGGATCTGCCTGATGAAAAACTGGTTCAGAATAAAGTTTTGGAAATAAACGATCTCTTGCTTATAGCCCTTGTTTGAGCCCCATTCTCAAAAAACTCATTTTTTCCCAAATTCATTTTCTACCACACATTCTCCCAATAAAATAATTTTGCACATAAAGTCAAAATTTATTCTTACTTTCTAATCACATATTCTTTAGAAACATCACTATTACAAAATCTATTTTTTTCAAAAAATGAGGCTCAAACAGGGGCCTATGTATAATATATACATCAAAATTCACTTTAATTATAAAAATAGTTACTACCACCAATAATTTCTTATGCATTGGGAAAGTAGAATATGAGCATGCACTCTTGGTACTAAGTAAGGCACTCATTGATGTTTGAGAACAGTATAAAAATATATAAAAATTACATATAAGTACGTTTTTTCATTATAAACCCGTAATAGTATTTCCATAAAGTCTTCGAGTAAAAAATTAGCATTTGCTTCCAATTTTTACTCAGTTTTATGCACAGTGGAGCCTAAACAGATGTGCATAAATAATTCCAAGAAATAGGCTATAAATGAGAAATTTAAGCATTTTCATCAATCAAATTGCAAGTTCTTTTCATAATAGCTCCATCAATAATTGGACTGCAGTAATAAATTTCACTCAGTAATTGACTGCAAAATCTTATCAATTGAAAGTAAATCCGACCTCAAGCCTTTCTGGCATGCCACAATCAGATCTGTGTCTTTTGGGAATTTCTCTAGAACTTCTGTTAAGAATTGGCTGTAGAGAAGTGAACAATGAAGGGATTATTTATGTAACACAAGTACAAGAATGTAATTATGCTAAACAGACGAGTAAGGATGGGTTGTAGCGTACTTATCATAGGACAATGTAGGGACACCACTCCACCATCCTCCTAAAAAATACACATTATATAACAATTATTACTTCAAACTGGATCTAGGGAATCTGTTGTAATGTCTAAAAAGCATCAAAATGAACAGTAACACATCAAAATAAGTCTTTATACATCGATGACAAAGATGATTGCGGTCTTCTATGTTTTACTTCCCCTGCCCGACGTTGCATGTCCTTTCGGATTTGAACATTAGGTAATATCTTTGACGACATAAACAAGGACAATTTCAAGGATATACACCAATAAAATAGTTTCTAACAAAATTACTTAATTCTAAAGTTGATATTGCAGTACCCATCATGAATTCTGTGACCTTCCTTGAAAGGGTACCAGCATCAAAACTGGTATCAACGTCAAATATCGGGATCCAGGTAGAGCCTTTGACCCATGCCTATAATAAAAAGATGCATTTTATAAAATGACAACTTATTCAAAGCAAAATCAACATAAGTGCCAATGAACAAAAAGTGTACATTTGCCTTTCACGTCTCACCAGAATAAAAAGGGAGTTTAAACCTCACCTTTTGACGCTCAGTAGTGGGGCGAACATCGAGTAAGGTTTTACTTGAGAGTTGGATTGCATATCCAGCTTCTCTAGGTGTTAGAATTTTGACTTTCCCGTCCCTGACCTATGCAAGAACAAAGTAAATAATAGACTAAAGCAAACCTGGTCTTCTTCAATGGACAGAACAATGAAAACAAAATTCAAATATTTAAGACGCTCCTGTCTTCAGTGATAAAAGTTGGCTGAAAAACGTACTTCATTTTTATATCCAACAAATTACTGTTTCATCAGGGTCTGAAGTAGAAATATAAGTGTAATGCAGTAGAGTTAACTTGCTTTTATCTCAAGTAACTAACAAATATTAAGAATGCAAGATTGAACAATTTATCATTTTCCCATTCATTGATTGCTATTTTATGAACCTTAATTGTTCATTAGAATTGTGCATAAATTAAGATCATATGCAAGGCTTTGAGCCAATCAATAGTGCTCAAATGAAGTAGATTTTCTCTTCCCATATCGAATGACAAAACAGAGAAGCAATAGTCCTTTGCAATTTTTCCATATTATCAAATGTAAACATCTCGAATATGAGAAAGAGGTGATGGCTCAAACATGGAGTTAAATTTTCCATGAATACCCAAAGTCAAACACCTTCTATGGAGGTACTCACGCAATAAGACCAAATATTTTAGACCACATATACATGATCAAATTAAAACTTAGTGCCACAAGGAAAGGTCTTTCCCAAAAAAAGCTCCCGCCATGGCTTCTTTCTTAACATTTTTTTCACGGTTTTCATGCATGTGCACGTGTTGTATCATTCGAATCCGATTTCTTCTTTTGCTGATAAATTTCTTAAGCTGAGGATCAATTTCTATGTGATCTCTAACCCCTAGAGGCTTTAGTAATGGCTTCTTTGGTTCATAAAATTCCAATGTCTTTCGTCACAGCAAGAAAAATTCTAGACTACAAAGAAACCCCAAGAACCCCGACTCCATTTAGAATAATGATTTCTTCATATGAAGTTGAGTAAAAATGGTACTCTTGGCAACTTTAT